CCTCCTGCCGGCTGTGCCAGGGAGCGTCCCTGACACAGTCTCTCCCGATCTCAGTCAGGAGTTCCACCTGCCGAAGAATTTCTTTGCTTTCTTCTTTGCAGGTCCTGCACTGTGCTTGGCTTCCTTCTTCATGACCTTGTGCTCTTTGATCTCGCTGAAAAGCTCCTCACTTCCTCTCAAAAGTTCGTCCATGACAAACCATTGAAAATGATTCTCTCCAACTAGCTCTCTCCTCTGAGGTTCAAAAGCACTGAAGTCCTCGTTTGTCAATGCATCCGCTGCTCATTGCCGTCTCTCCTGACCCAGGTCAGAGTCGCATAGGCATCATACCTTCTAAGCGTCTCTGCAACCTCAATCACCAGCAATGTAACCGGGTACTTGGTCGACAACCCTTTGCGAAGAATGAAGGAGTTGCCACGATAGTCTGTAAATGCCTCCGCGTTTGTCTCAGCAGACCCACCCTTCAGCCAAAGCCTAAGGGCAACAAGCGTAGCAAGCAACTCCAACGCAGCTATGACCCTCTTTGGGTTCTTTCCCCGGAAAAACAGCCAGGGTGCAAAACTCTCCGTGACCTTGAACGAGAACCATCTGCAAGCCTTGCTGTCGGATGACTCCTCAAGCCAGCCTCCAATCCAAGCAGCATGTTCCGTCGCCTTGGCATCTGTCCAGATCCTCAGCGTGCTGCCACCCTGGAACACTGGGCGCTTGACTGCTTCCATGCGGCCACCTTCTTTGAGCCTCTTTGCAATCCAACTCAGAATGAACTGTATTGCCCAAGGGATTGTCAATGCACCCCGGTTTGACTGCATTGCTGATGCCCAGGCGTACAGCGGGCCTAACAATGGCCTCTCCCACGGAAGTGCAAGAGCCCAAACCTGCAGCGAACTCCCTGTAGGTGACTTCTTTCCGCAGCCTCAGCGACCTGATCCACCCCAGCACCCATTCAGTCCTCTTGACAGACAGCCCCATTGCAAAGCTGCGGTAATAGGTGGTCAGGCCAATCCACTCCGTTGTCAAACCACCCCTTTGCTTCGCCCATTTGAACGGGGCTCCAAGTGCTGCGATGAGCGCATAGGCAAGGACACCTCCGACTCGCCCTTCACGCCCAACTGTCAACACCTCCAGGTCGTCTGCATACAACAACATGTCATTCGGGAAACCCTCCCCGAGGACCCAATACACTAGTCTCATCAGAGCCGCACTCAGCCGCGCCCACCAGTACGGAGTTGAAGCTATCCCAAAAGTCCCAACTTTGTTCACATAGACAATGTTCGAACCTGAGGACGCCTTGCATGCCAAGAAGCCCTGCTCCTCCACTGCATACTTGAAGCGCCTGTGCGCCTTGGCGAAGTCTCCCACAAGGGACAGAACTGTCTTCTGCTCTGCCTCATACTCCTCCAGCAGGGTCCGCTTCTCCCGAGGCCCCGGCATTCTGACCTTGTCTCTGCAGCGAATCTTGTGGTTCACCATGACACCGTGTGTGCCGTCATGTATCACCCGCTTCTTGCCCGTCACCTCATCCTCAACCAAGACTGCTAGTGCCGCTACAGCCCGGTCCTCACCATATGTAGCAACAAAAGTCTCCTCGCCCATCTTGGTCATCAGACCCTCCGCAACTTCTTGCTCCAGGTGCTCTGTGAGGTATTTCTCATGCTCTGCAGCTGACACGTAGTTCTCCTTCTGCCAGACAGCACTGCTCCAATTCTCACTCTCCAGGTTCCAACGAAGCTGCTCCTCGAAGATCTCAGGCGTACGAGGCAATTGATTCAAGATGCCCAGTGGCAAACCCACCTTGGCCTGCTCCTAAGAAGGCCCAGTCAGGATCACCTGCCTTCTCCAACACCCCTCTCATGAGGTCCAAGAAAAATGGCTGACCCTCTTCCGGACAATGTTGCATTGCAATGCCCAAATTATCTGCCAGGAGACACCTAACCCTCGCCAGGAACTCCTCATCTCGAACCAAGCTGAATGCATTGCCACCTTTTGCCATCTTGAATGCCTCCTTCTCGACCTCCGACAAGCTTCCCAACTTCCGGACCGCCTCCTGCCGTAGTTGAAGCCTCAACTTGACCCACTCCTCGCCTTGCAAGAGTTTCCTCTCGCTCGAAGCCCACCTCCCCGGAGAAGCCAGCCCGCCTCCATCATGGAAGGGGGCCTCCAATCCCTTCCACCTACATGACCGAGGTGGACCTCTACCGCCGGCAACAATCGGGTTCATGGGGTCTACCTCCACCTTCTCCTGCTGCACGTTGTGACGTTTCTCCGCAGGTCCCGGATCATCTTCCGGTTTCCTCTTCTTCTGCACCTCTGAACCTCTGCAAAATTCACTCCCCCCTGAACACTCTCAGCGGTCCATTTGCAGAGTGCTGATGGTCAAGCTGCTGAGTGCGCTGTCTTGAACACCCCATTCTCCTTGCCAATCAGAGGGGCGCCCCCTGGTTGTTTCGGCAAGGGGCCGACGTACCAGCCTTCTGCATCAAACTGTGGCGGTCCTGAATGCATTGCTGGATGCAATGGGGCAAAGATCCTCATCAAAAACCTTGTAGGTTTCGGTGAAGCTGTACCAAACTGTGACTGAGCAAAAACAACTGTTTCAACACCATCCAATGCTAAAAGCTCCTGGAACTGCCAAAACTGCCACATTGATGCGGGTTGATGGCCTGCAATCCTTGCATTGTTTGCCCTGCCCAAATCCTCAGGTTGCTCCATGAGCCCCACCGAATACCTATTGCATGCAAACTGGCGTTTCAATGCTTCAAACGAGAAATCAGCCAAGATTGTTCCAAATTCTGCCTTGTGAAAACGCTCCCCCTTGTTCCATGGAAAACCTCTCGGGTAGGACGAGCTCCTCAGTGGGAAAGGTCCCAAATCATTTGCCCACACAGCCCTTGAAAAAGTAGAACAGGGTGGAGTAACAATGACTGCATAGAAGATACCTTTGGCAATCAACTGCAACCATTTCTTCTGTACTGAAGGTATTGCGAAATCCGACTTGCGATCGGACTGGATGTCCAGTTCTGTGATCACCACATGAACACCCTTTCGTTGCGCCAGCCTCCGGAGGAACCCCGCAACCGAATTGCTCCCTGTTGTGTCCGGAGCCACTGCCTCCTTGCGATTCTTTGGATTGCACTCGTAGAGAGGGCGGCGATCACTGTAGCATGCAAATCCCGCAGACATGTTTGTATTTGCATTTGCTGCTTTTGCATTTCTCCCCAGGCGTGTTGTACCTGAAGCAAATCATCTCACCGTCCGGGTGTGGGTTGCACAATGTGGATTGCTACCTTTGCCCTTGCCCTTCTTGGACTTGCCTTTTTCCTTGCCCTTGCCACCCTTCTCAACTGTTGGCCACTTCGCTTGCGGCTGCTCT